ATTATGCAAGGAAGGGGATTCAATATTTATATTGGCAAATCACATCCTCAGATACCCAGGCCTTCTCATATGTTTAAGCAATTCTGGCTTCTGAATAAAATCTTAACATGCATTAACATGGCACATAAGACTCCTAGTTCTTTTGTGGAATCGAGCATGACCTTTTAAACCATCACATTTAGAATACATTTGATCAAAGCTAATAAAGAGGCTGACAATGAAGACTGCAACTACTCATTTATATCAGTTATTTTATAGAACATCACTGAAACAATGATCAATGGTACCAGACAGTTGTACAGATCATTTTAGCCAGATTTATTAGATTCCAAACCCTGGAGGGAGGAAAACAAACAAACAAACTAAACCAAACAAAAAGCTACAAACACAACCTATGAAAGATCAATAGTTCTTCTTCTCCTTCCACAATCAAAGCTACCAGAAGATAAAAACCAACAAATTCGTAGACTACAGAACATTTTTAGAAAGTATTGATTGGGTAAAGAGTAAAATCCAGAAATTTAAGTTGTATTAAAGATGATTCATAAACTTAAAACACTCTTTATACTCCCCACAGCAATCCAAGAACACATATATTTTAGTGCTCAAAAGAGAAAAGTAGAAGCAAAAGCAATCCAAGCTCCGAAATATTCAACTATTAGTATCCCCTGATTCGTAGACAATATACAGAATTAGTACAGAAGTAAAAAAAAAAAATCTGTGTCTTACAGAAAATATAATTTAAAAAGTATCTTTAAAGTTTTATAAGATTTCTTTTTAAAAATAAAAAAATTAAATACTGTATAGGTGCCAGATATACCTCCACAGTGAAGCCTGCACACTATTCAGTGCATGATTCATCACGTTCTTTAGTCATAGGAATTTTCACAATTCCTCAGAATGTAACATGAGCCTTACAGTTTACAAGTAAATCCATTCTAGTTCAAGTTCTCATTCAAGAAGGTATAACTAAGAATTTTCATTATTAAACGCTTCAGATAACCCATGTATTTCTTTTCTGAAGGCTTTTATAGTTTAATACTGAATTGTAAGTTTAATTCAAGTGGAATTTCCAAATTCTTCTGCCTCTGGAGCCTTGCAGCCCACCACTACATTGATTTCTGGTCTACACATGCCTCTTCCCATGCATGTGTTAACCGTTGCGCAAACTGAAGCAAGTTCTTTAGCCCAAAGCTCATGACAACATTAAAACAGAGCCACTATCCTCTTCAAAACAGACTTCCCAAAGAGTAAAATAACTTCCTAAAGCAAAAAAACCCCCAACATATATAGAGCCCATCATCCCATATATTCAGGGAATGTCTCAAGTTCCCTTGAAGATCCCAGTTTCGTTCATCTCTGCCTCTCCCTGGGCAAAGCAGGGAGTGCACATGAATGTCAAGGTGTAGGGCAACCTCCTACACAGTCACTCACACACACTTAAGATTTAGGATCCTTTGATCCCTATTTTTTCCTGAAAAATAAGAGCTATGACAGAAATCTCACTGTTAACAGCTTATTTCCTTCTTACCTTCTGACATCACAAGACTTTCCCTCTCTTCCCATATCCTTCCTTATCACACAAAATCTTTCCTCCAATGGGCTTTACATTTGCCATTGTTCAGTTCCACGGCATTACCAGGAAACAGAAATGTTAAGATGCAACATTGTTCTTTTTTAATTGTAAATAATATGTCATTTCTTAGGTCTGCAAAATGATTAGAAGTGGCATTAACTCTGAAGGTTAGCCTTCAAAAAATAAAACTTCTCCCTTTACAAGATTCCAGAAACCGATGCTAGAGAAAATTTCGTTTTCTTATTATTTCCAGTGGAGAGCTTCAGTAAGAATCAGAGGCAGTCACCACTTCCTACTATTTGAACTTTGGCATATTTGTTTCTACTTCCTGAAAAGAGATGGTGATTCCACTTTCCCCAAAAACTCATTTTCCTTCCCAAAATGAGAAAAGAAAGATAGTAACTATTCTGAAGTGACTAAATTGTGAGGTTTCTACCCAGATAGAAATGGTTTGGTGTCAGGAACAGAAAAAAACTTGCTAAATATATTGGGAGAAAATAATTATTGAATTAAATGTGTCCTAAAAGTCACTTCTGTGTCTAATCTGTAAAATATCCAACTGAAGGAACAACCATTGAAATACACACATACTTAGTTTTCCCAGTAGCAAAGGGGCATTCCAATTCTTTTCATCATCAAAATAATACATATATATATATATATATACACACACAGAGCAGTGCCCAGTATTTGTAATCCAGCACATCACATGGCACCACAGAGGCAGTCAAGTGTTACGCACCACAGTTCCTTCCCTATCACAGACCCAATCTACATGCCTATCAAGTGATGTTTTTTCAGTAATTACTTTTTGGTCACACAACAGATGAGTTCCAGGGCTCTAAGACCATGAGATATAGAGCTAAAATTAAACTTGACCCTACATATCAAAGCCAGCACTGTAATTTCAAAGTCAAAGTTTAAAAGAAGTCAAACCATGGTATGATAAACAATCAACTGGGAGTTGTGTAGAAACAGCGCTGCACAGGCTCTAAACTGTGCACTTTCATATGCCATCATATTTGCTTTCATATCTGTTTCATTCTTTAAGATACTCATTTCATCTTAAATTCAAGTTCCATAGTATACTCACTTACTCAATTGACCATAATCAATGTCTGCCCCTAAATCATTTAATATTTTTAGAGCAATCCCAAGACCAAGTAATTACAAATACAAAATATTAGTTGATTTGAATTAGAAAGTTTGTTATCATGGGGTTCAAGCAACAACTTCTACAATATGAAAATAAGACACTCCCTTCTCAAAGAAGCCACTATTTCTATCATAATAGTACCTTCTTTCAAATAACTGTGGAGACCAATCTCTTCTTGATCTGCCAGCTGGCAGCTACTGGCAGCTACTTTCGATACGTAATTCTAAATTATTCAATTAGTCAGAGATAGCACCATCAAAGAAAGAACACAGAAATGAGGGGAACACTACAGTCTAAACAAATTGCACATTAAAGGATATTCATGATATACAACTACAGCATTTAGAACGACAAAGATCCACTGTCTGCAAATTTTAGTTCTTACATGTCCTCTCACCCTCTTTCCCAAAATGAAGCAAAATCAAATAATCATGCTGCACATTTTAAAGCTGTGGTAGGTTGACCCTAGCCAGCAGTTAGGCATCCACACAACCAGACCCAGCACAAAAAAAACCCTTAAATATCCAAAGTATCCTACGGATTTATATATTTCTGTATCAACAGAAGCTGACTGCAACTTTTCAAATTATCGTATCTCTTTGCATTGTATAGAGGCAAGTTCTGAAACAGTATCTTCGTACCTCTTGCATAGCAATGACACTATTGACACCTTTAGGAGTAGGAGTCTCCCAGGAGTACATGATAGAGCAGCTCCCTCCTCCACCCTAGTGCTCCAGAAATAGACAAGTCATTGCTAGAAAGCATTTTTCAGAAAGCAGAGTTTTCTAAACACTTAATAACAAGAGAACAGGGAGGGGAGAAGCAGGTGAATCCTACTAAACTGAATTTCAGAAGCTTAAAGAGACAAACCAGGTTGAGAATTTTAAAAAGTGAGTATTGGTACTTCATGGATCTATAAAGCTCTATGATCAGGATCAAAATCAAACTTGCTTATTATGCTATATTAGACACCTCTTTGTCTAGTTTATACAAATGTTTATTACTCAAACTATCTCTAAATAACTATCCCTCTGGGATATGTGTTCTCAACTTTTATAAAAGAAATCTAGGCATAGCTAGGTAAATATATTGAATAAATGTGTCCCACTTCCTTTCCCGTTACCCCTTTTCCTCCTGCACACTTAAACCGAGCAACGCTCATCAAGACAACTATGTTTTCCACCAGCTCTTTTACTTCTTCTTGAAAGAAGGAAACTACAGTCCCTTCGGTTTCTGCGTAGCTATCAGGAAGACCGCCCTTTTTTTTTTTTTTTCCCAAGCCGCAGTGATAGCTGGGTTCCACTGGGACAGCTCTCCCGAGCCCCAGGATAGGGGGACAGGGCGGGCAGGAGGCTGAACGCGACCGAGGAGACCCAGCACCACCACTCGCCTTCCACATCTGCCCATTCGAGAATGTCAACTACATTAACCCTCTGGGGCGGCTCTCTCAAACTTTTGCCGTGAACAGCATCATATGCTCATTCTTATTTCATCATGGAGAAAAAGATGACAGAAAAGGAATGAAAGATCATCAGCACCTCCATTGTTAATAAATACAGAGAATACACATACTGATTATGTTTTACACACACTTCTAAATTAACACTAAAATCTAGATTTACTGCAGTGTTCAAGTTGCCTGGAAACTTCCGAGAAGCAGAGTCCCTATTAAAAACAAAGCTCTTCCCCAACACAACAACCTACAGCAGAGCATTTCTGTTGTATCTTGAAAGGTCATATACATTTCACGTGTTGAACTACATCTCCAGAGGGTCGTCAAGTAACTACGGAGCTACACGAAGATTCATAAACTGAAAAGCCAGATAACTCTGTGATTACGTGTTGGCACATTCCCCTCCCTACAATTCCGGCATTTCACCGAGGTCAGAGAAAAGCTGTCACATAAAACGACATCATTTAGGACTGGAACAAACCGCCCCGCCAACACTGCCATAGAAGTCAAACACACAGTTTTAAAGAGAGAATGGCTAAGCCTTATCTCCTTCAAAAGCGTAAAATCCCACAGGGAAGTGGGACAGGGGAGCCAGGCACGCAGCAGAAGTCCAAGTGCAATACTTTCTTCAAAAATAAAAAAAAGGCCCCCCGCCCCCATCTCACATGCTCCTGCCCATATCTTCCAGTTTATCTTTTTTAATCTGCCCCCACCGAGATGTCTCTGCTGGTCCCAACCAACTCTGCGGGACCCCCCCGCCCAGCAGTGTTTCCCCGTCCCCCCCGTCCCCGCGCGGCCCCGGGCCCGCCGCTCACCGTTCCTCAGCTCGTGCTTCACCGTGAGCAGCGGCAGTTCCGCGTCCCCCGAGGGTCCCTCCATGGCCCCCGCCGCTCCCGCCAGTGTGAGCGCGGCCCGGGGCGATGTCACCTGGCCCGAGCCGGGATCTATTTCCCAGCGGCGCTCCGGGCGACAGGAGCCATGCAGGCGCGCTGGGGGCTGCCGCTCTCCCCTCCGCCGTGTGGAAAACGGGGAGGGGAGGGGAAAAAAAAAAAGACAAACCCACACCACCCAACAACAAGCAGTTATTAAAATCTAGGGAGGCACACGCACGACAGCTTCCCTCCCCCGGCGCTCAGAGCCAGCCCATGTCCTTGCGGCTCTCCTCCCCCGGGCTTCGGCCGCCCTCCCCGCCCCACAGCGGGGAGCGGAGCCGAGCCCAGCTGAGCCGAGCCGAGCCGAGGAGAGCCGAGCCGAGCCGAGCGAGCCGGGATAGGCTGAGGGACGCGGGAGGCGGGGGCGGAGGGGGCGCCGCGGAAGCGGCTCCTGCTCAGGCGCTCGCGCCCCCTCCCTCCCCGGGCCGGGCGCTCATTGGCCGCGCGCGCCCGCGAGCCCCGGCTACCGCCGGGCAGAGAACGCTCCGCGCGCACCGCCCCCGCCCTTCCGCCGAGCGCCGTGCGCGCCCATTGGCTCGGCGGCTGCGCCAACCGCCGGCCCCGCCCCCCGGCGGCCCCCCCACTCCCTCTACTCCCGGCGCTTGTTTGTAAACATTCCCGCCCGCCGCTCCCGCTGGCCCCCAGCCCCGTGGGGGGGCAAGCGCTGGGCCGCCAGGAGGAAAGGGAGGGCGCTGATTGACCGCTGGAGCTGGCAATCACCTGAGCGAGCGGCCGTGGCGCCCTTCCTCGCGGTACGGGCCGTCTCCACCGCACTCGGGGGCGGGAACAGCCGTGGGCTGACCCACTCGCAATGGCGGCGGGGGGCAGCGGGGCTCTATCCTGGCGCGGGGCGTGCGAGATCGCGGAGCGGGGCGTACCCGCGGGGGATGTGGCGGGGCAGGGAGGAGCGAGGCACAGCCGCGGCGGGGGGTTCTCGCAGGGCCCCGGCCGCCCGCCGAGCCCCCGCCTCCCCGCACGGGCGGTGTGTGCCGGCTCGCGGCAGCGGGGCCGGGGAGCTGCGGGCGTGAGCGCGGCACGTACCCGGTATGTCCGCCCGCAGCCCGGCCGTGCGGGCCGCGCTCGGGGCGCGGGTGGCGGGACCGCGGGGCTGGGGCTCCGGCGGAAGAGGCGCCCCAGGCCGAGCCTGACGCCGCCTCCGCTCTCGGCCGGGCCCTGGGCTGGGGAACGGGCGGCGAGCGGAGCCGCCGTCTTGGGGGGTTGAAGCGGCCGCGTGTATTGGGAGTTAAAACAGCCTTGGCTATCGCTGGGAAGTCCCAAAGCTTTGTTGGTTACGCCAGCTCAGGAGGTGCCTGTGAGGGGGTTGCTTGTTGTGAGGTGGGATTGGCGAAGTTGCTGGGTAGCTACACCCGTGCTAGGTTCACCCCCTCTGCCTGTGGCGTGTTCAGCTGGTCCCCTCAGCTGCGAGAGGGTCACTGTGCTCACAACGTGCTCTGAGTCCCTTGTTAACAAGTTCAAACGCATCAGACCTGTTCACCTCAGTTAAGCCTCTCAGTCTGTTATGTTTTGGAGGCAATCTGATATGTCTAAAGCTGTCCTCATTTCCTTGAGACAGATAACACAAATCACTTTTCTCTCCATTTCTTATTTACAGTAATTTTTGATTTGTTGCTCTTGGATGGCGTTTCTTTTATCCTTACCACAAGCTGCTAATTGCCAGTGCCAGGTCATGTACAGCAGCAGTGTTCACACAGAGTCTAACTCAGATACATCAAAGATCAATGAAATAAAATGTCTTATTTCAATCCTTTATTCCCATTCCAGTATTATATATTTGTGATTGTACACACACACACATATATATTAAAAAATATGTGTACATGTATACATACACACGTTTCTACAGTTTCCTATGGAGAGATTGAGTTGAGCTAATTGAAGTTGGTAAAAGCTTTCTACTTCAGAATGGTTTAAATACCAAACATCGGTTGTAGGGCACTTTTGAGATTGTTTTCTTCCCAGAAATTAAAATTACTATCTAAGGGCTTCATAGTATTTCAGGTAAAACTGTTGAAGGTGTTTTCCACCAAGCACTGCAGCTGTTCTGTTGAGGTATCTCTCTGTAGCATATGGTACACACATCACTAAAAATGTCCATCCAGTTACTGCCTTTCCAATAGTATTATTATCAAGCCTATAAATATAGAAACTCTGATCTCAGGAGATGTTTTCAAACTCAAAAATAATTGATTCCCTAGCTTTTGTCACTTGATTTAGAAGCTCACTATTGCAGAGAAAGGCAATGTTAATTCAGTATATTATTAAACTATAAAAGGGAAAATAATGAAAATACTAAACTGATGAACTTAATTGTTAATATTTTCCATCTTTTTAACTGTTGGCTCCTTTGTACAACTACTGGGTAGTGTCAGATTTACTACTTCTTTACAAGGTGTAACAACCACTTCTGATTATTCTGTGTCCCAGATAATAGATTTTAAAGAGACTAGTACTATATTTCATCCAGTGGCTCTACTAGCCTACTCTTGGACTAACTGTCCCTGGCAGCCTCAGAAGAGAGAAACTGAAATCCGATTCCTCTCTGTTCCTTACTAGCTCTCAGTGTGAGTGGAGCTGGCATTGAATCCAGTAGTTGTTAATAGTCTTGGTTTCAGATGTTCATAGCTCGACAGACTGTATATGCTTATTTGCCTCAGGCTGAAACCTTCTGTGTTCTCCTTTTAAATTTCAGCTAAAACAGATTTAAAAAATGAGGCAACAACCCTAAAACATCAAACCAAGGGTATTGATCCATGCTGATCATGCATGTAGCAAGACACAGGGATTACCATGTATATTTCAGTTTAAGGTAACTGGGCTTAGAAAGTACCATTGCATGAACTGAAAGTTCTTTGTTATCACCGAGGGACCCCCTGATTTACTGGCAACATGGTCATTGCATTAAAAAAAAAAATTCAGATTTTTTTATATAACAGTTTCTCCTGTGTTAAAATATTTCTGCATGGGGATTTTTGTGTCATATCCAGAAACAGCAGAGCAGCCCTACTGAATGTTTGGAAAGAATCCTGCCTTTTGACAGACAAAAGAGCTATACTTGCACTGAAATCCTAAACCTTCTGTCACTAGTCCATGAGTACAAGACTGTGCTCAACTTATCCTTTCAGCTAAACTTTTGGGAGCAGTGGAGAGTTAAACTTGGTTATGTGCTTGACTTAAGAGTGGATCTACCTTGAGTAGAACCGTCCAGGCATAGTGGGCTGGTTACATTACCTTTATCACATTTGTCTTTGAATACATTGTCACATGGCTTTGTGGGTAGCTGTAAAAGGACGGAGTTCTGTAAGCCTTAAGGGTAGATAGGAATTACAGATAGGTGGAAATATAGAGGCTACATCTGTACCAGAAAATAAAACCAATTAGGGCTCGTTCTGTACATGTCAGGGAAGTGGCATGATGTAGCATGGTACAGATAAATTCTTCAAAACAGTGGCTTTTTCCACACTGCCTCCTGGATTTGTACAGATTGCATACCATTAATGAGCTATGCTAGACTCCAGCTTGTATGAAGAGATTGCCTGGAAGAATACTAGTCAGGGACACAGCCATTCCTGAAAGCATGCCAGCAGTTGGAAGTATGGGTACTCATGTACCAGCACTCAGATTGTGCCTTTGTCCCATTTGAATCACTAACATAGGCAGTCACGGAGTCAGATAAGGGGGGAAATTTGGCTTGAGCCTGCAGCCAAAGCAGCATGTGGAAGTACAGGAACAATGATGGGCTATAGACCCACAGGGAGTAAAGACTGCTCTGTAAGAGATTTCTTATAGCTTGGAAGAGTAAAACCACCCTTGGTGTGTAAGCTGTGCTTTTATAAGTGCAGCTTGGAGTGCAATTTAACTGACTAAAAATGTTATTTGCATTTTAAATACTTCTACACGTGCTGTGACACTGAACAAAAAAATCATATTTGCAGTATGTGCATTCAATAAATTATCCCTCTGATATTAAAAGGAAAAATATTGTGTGTTAAAATGATTAAAAGCTATGGGGTGGTGCAGAGCTACTCTTGCTCCATAGTGTAAATATTTTTGGGTTTTTAAGTAGCATTTTCATATTCTTGTGCACGATAAGAGCATGATAAGAGCAACCTGACAGGCCAATCAACCAACAGTTCAGTGTTTGGGCTGAGCGTGTGCTGAGTTTGGGAACATGGAGCAACACCGTTCTAAAGATAGATGTCCCTTCTCTACCCCACAACACAACTGTTCAAAAATATGTGTATTTACTTCCCATTCCTAATTGTGAAAAGAAGGAGGAAAAAATGCTGGGAAATATCCACATGGAAAGATATTATTGAACTTTATTTAAGAAACAGTGTCACAACATTTTCTTTTTGGTTCTAAAAGAGGTGGTGTGCTAAGCTGGTTTGAGGGCTGAGGTAAAATTGAAATGTTCAGTGTACAGACTTCTGAGAGAAAATGAGAGAGAAAAAGAAGAAGAAAATGAGTGCTGTAGCTGCATATTTCCAGGGTGTCACTACTTCACAGTTTTAAGGTATTTGGTTTACTTTCTTTCTGAAGGGTAGCTGCATATGAAAATCATAGTTTCTATGGAGCTCAAGTTGGAGGCATCTGGTGCTTTCTTATGGTCATTGAATTGTTACAGAAATAGGTGTTATTTTCAAAGGACAAATGTTGGAAAGCCAGATGATACAAAATGTTCCCCTTAATCACTCCATGGAGAATATTTGCACTGCAGGGGAAAAAAAGGATCAAATTTTGGAAACCACAAAATGAATTTAGGGTAGGACTCACCTACGGACATGACATCAAGAAGCTTTTGTGTGAGGTTTTGGTACAGGATTAGTTCTAGTTTCTAGTTTACATGTATTCTCTGTGATTTTTATCTTTTTGTTTTTAATCTGAATCTTTAATTGAACATTTTGTGCTTGATAACTGTCAGAAAAGTAGAGTGGGTAGGTAAATTTGCTCTTAAAGGGTTTTTGTATGAAACTGCTCTGGTCAACAGTTTTATCTCTCTAAAACCACTTAATGTTTTACCATGAAAGGAGAAGTTATGCAAAACATCCAAGCCTAATAATTCTCTTAACGGAAGTGGTACAACTCTGTCAGGAAATGGATGGTTTCTTGAAAGAGTGTGTGTACGTGAAGATGTGTTACTGATTCTAGGGTCTTGTTTCAGTATTAATTTCTCCACTGATTGTTTAGTTTTTCTTCAGTTACTGTACACTTTCAAAAGTTTAATAGTTAAAAATCCACATAGTTATAAAAGAGAAAAGAAATAAAAACTTGTTATGTTACTCAGTTTCTAATGAGGAAAAGGAAAATGAATGCGCACTGTCCAGA